CAAAAAGAACATTGGGGAACTGGAGTAAGTGCAGAGAAGGGTAACTAAACTGATATGAGGCATGGAGGAGATCAGCTATGAGGAAAGATTAGAGGAACTGAATTTATTCTCTCTTGAGAAGAGGAGATTAAGGGGGGATATGATCAACATGTATAAATACATCAGTGGTTCATATAGTAAACTCGGTGTAGAGTTATTTATGTGTCATCACAGAGGACAAGGGGCACTCTTTACGTCTGGAGGAAAAGAAATGTAATCTCCAAACATGGAAAGGTTTCTTTACAGTGAGAGCTTTGAAAATGTGAAATAGACTCCCTCAAGAGTTGGTTCTGGCCAGCTCAGTGGATTGCTTTAAAAAAGGCCTGGATTCTTTCTTGGATACACAGAATATAACTGGATACTAACATTTATAGGTAAAGTTGATCCAGGGAAATGATGTTACAAGGGGGGCGGTATCGCCCCTGCCCCTTGCGATGTCATCATGCCCTGTGATTGGCAAAAGCATTGCACCTGACCTGTGGGCAGGTACAATGCTTTGGTCAATCACAATGCACTGTCAGGGCACAGTGCATTGTGTGGTGTCACAGGTGAACAGCGAACGGCCCATGTTCAAGTCGAACTTACATTCAACTCGAACATGCAGCCACTATTCAGCAGGAGGATTGAAGAAGAAAAAACTTTCAGCACAGAACTATTTGGAAGCACCTGCTTCAACATTGGCTTTTTAGCAATTGGGCAATCAGAAGAAGTTGTTAGGCATTTTTTCAAAGCATCCCTGAGGAACCCAGAAGGCACTCTGGTTGAAAACGACTGATCTAGACACAGTAGTTACATGGAGGCCAGTAGATAGAATCACAGAGCACAGCCACCAGCACCAGGACTCAGGCACATACAGAAGTGTGTAAGATGCAGAAGATTTAAAAGTCATTAGCTCCTCAAGAGAGCAAATATTGACAGCATTGGCAGCAGAACAGGTTTACCCTTTTGTTTTTTGAAAGCCCATATTTAAAAACTTTTCAGTCACTCCAGCTGAAGGAAAGGACACCCATTTTGTAACAGGAGGACTGAGAACTTCCATTCTGTAACTGGACATTGGGAGTTGTCATTCTTTAACTAGATTGAAGGGAGCACCCATTATGTTACAGTGGAGGTGGAAACAGCCATTCTGTAGCAGAAAAGATGTGAGCACACATTATGCAGCAAAAAAGGGGAAGAGCACCCATTCTGCACCAGGAGAGTTGAAATCACTTATTCTATGACAGGAGAGCTGATAGAATTCTTTCTGGTACACAGGAAGAGCTGGCTCTCATTCTCTAACAGGAGAGGTGGGAGCATCTATTCTGCAACAAAAGGAGTGGTGGCTCTCGATCTTTAATAGGAGACATTGGGAAATCCCATTCTGTAAAAGAACCAGAGGGAAAAAACATTTTGTGGAGTGAGGAGCTGAATCACTCATTTTTTCTACAAAGTGATGTGGGTAGCAAAAGAGGCAAAAGCAATGCACACCATATCAATGCTATTTTGAATATGAAAACCTTGTCTCCCATTTCCCTAAGAAAGAAAAAGAAGCTAATGTGATCCAGAATAATTAACAATCCAAGTCACATAAACTTTAACAAACAATGCCACACAATACTCTCGTGCTATGGACAGTGTTAAAAACTTATATATTTCATATCATTTGTGCAAATCCTCCTTATAAAGTGCATGTTACAACCAATGTGCAAATATCACATATACAATTTAGTCATCTTCCAATATTTCACTCTCAAATTACTATTCAAATCATTATGAATTATGCAAAGTCCTCCTTGTTTAAAAAGTAAATATATTTTCATAAATATTTGTGCACACATTCCTCCTGTGTTGAAAATCACCCGTGTGCATAACTCCTCCACCAACACACATATATGCTCTCACCTCTGTATTTGACGTATATATATTTAGGTCAAATAGTGCTTTTCCCTTATAACGCAGGTAGGTATGATTTTTCCTCTCCAACCTCCAATCTCTTCCACAATCTAATTCATATCGATCTTCCTATTCTTTATACAGCGTATCCTCCAAAGGCTGAGACCCTTGTGCTGCACAGCACAGCGCCTTCTGATGGATGAAGGTAGAAAGTGAAGTAATTTACCTACTGGCGGGCACAACTAAACTGCCACACCTTACCCGTTATTACTCTAAAAGAGCAGGAATCAGTGTATGGGTGTATGGTATGGGCTAGCCTGCGGTGCAGCGCAACAGCTTACAATCTTACACAAGTCTACAGTATTCCCCCTCACATAACTGGTCCTGTAGCACGTGCCTGAGTATTCCTTCTGAGCAAAACGCCAGTCTGGCTTGAGTTTGTGGGATGTTATCAGCTCTCCAATGTGAAATGTCACTTTAAGTTATGGAGTCCTTCCAATGATCAGTAATAACGCTTGTGGCCTGACACAAACAGAGACACTAACTAATTAACTATAGGCCTGGTCTTGGTCTCTAGGCGCCAACACTGAAATGAGGTGCGTGCACGATCTTACCGACCCGGGTCTGCTTTGCATCTGCTGGTGACTCTGAACCAGAACAAATGTCTCTCCAGCAAGCATGCGGCCTCGCAGTGTATAGTATATTGCTTTGTTCCTCTGCTCTCATCAGCATTCCTGGCAGCAATCTTCCTTTCTCTCAGGATCAGGGTCTTGGACACGATCAGTTTCACTTAGCTGCACCTCTGGTTACTGAGGGATGCTCTTACACCTGGATGCCATCTTCTCTGCTCACATGGCTCCTGCATTCACCATCCTCTAAAACATGGCTGTTTTCTCTCTCCTTCCTGTTCTCTAAACTCTGTGTGAAAAACCCCACCTCTTCATGAATATAGAAATATCTATGCAGTCTGAGGCTGTGTTAGGAAAACAGTGGCATCTTGTGGCTAAACCGCAGAATGTCACTCCAGAACATTTAATTTACTCCACACAATAATTTACTCCACACAAACAGTGTTCAAACAATGAAAGCTGTTTCTCCATCTCACAATTCCAGAGGTTTTTTCCAGGAGGGATTGCTTCACAATCAAAGAGTAGTTCACTTTCACAGACCCAAACAATATTATTGTATAACGTTCAATGTCAGAGATTATACCATTGACAATATTTTTTATTAAGATTATATTAATCAGTTCAGAGGTTTTTGGTGCTGAAAGTTTACAGCTTTTAATGCTACTCTGCTCTCTCATCGTTGCCTCCCTGTACTTCTGATCTTCACTGGAATGAAATAACAGTGGGCAGTGCAGTCTCCAGTCCGCCTCTTGGCTTTGAGAAGGAAGGGGGGAGGAGGAGAGAAGAGGGGAGTTCCTTGACAACCTAGGCTATGGGGCTTTTTGTTTCTATTGAAGCATACAGTGAAGGGAGACCCAAGTCTAGCCCTTAGTAATTAAAAAACTGATGGTTTAATATCACTTTAAATTGACACCAAAGTAAAGCATGAACATACAAATACAGGGGTTAGACAAAAATGTTTCACGTTAAAAGTGGAAGTGATGCAACATTTTTTTGCTTCTGCTGTGTGATGAGACACCTATCTAATAGGTAGGAAGCCTCACTTTCGTCATTCATTACATGCGCTGCTAGTAATACGGAGTCATGTCAGAGCTTACTGAGCCTCTGTGACTGAAGTTGCCAGTTTATTTGCCATATCAGGAGATACAGTATCAAAGGTTATGACAGCATATACAGTTTCCAGGAAAATGTTGTTGATAAGCATAAGTGTGGCTGACATGGTCAAATGACCGAAAGAGACAAAAAAGACACTGCGCAGGATTATGATCCGGAATAAGAAAACAACTGCTGCAAAAGGGACTGCAGATCATGGCAAATAACGCACAAGTGATGTGTGTCTGTCTTCATTTCAGGCTACAAAGCAGTAAAATGTGATTATTTTAAAGGGAGGGGATTCTTTGCTATGCTCACTGTAGTTTTCCTTTGCACCACGTTTTTCAGTTTACTGAGACACAGAAATGAAAAAAAAAAAAATTATTCCAATACAAAAATGTAAAGAAAATTAGGCTAGGTTCACACCTGTGCATGTGAGGTTGATGTTTTTTTTTTATGCATTTTTGCGGCACTATTTTTTGCACATTTTCAAATGAGTTTTTGATGTGTTTTCATATTTCATGTGTTTTATGTAAGAGGAGGAGAATGCTTGTTAAACACAAAAACCTACCAAAAATGCACCAAAAACACATGTTCATTCATTTTTGATGCTCTTCTATTGAAATATATAGAGCCAAAAACGCAATGTCCTTCATGAAAAAAGTCCCTGCACCTCTCAAAACAATGCATTGCAGGAAACTGCATACACTAGATGTGAACGAGACTTCTGCACTTCAGCTAACCAAACACACATAGATGTGAACCTTGCCTTACTACTAATTCTAGAAGGCTGTATGCCCTAATACCATGTTTCTCAAGTACTGGGTTGCAACCCAACAGTGGGTCGTGACCAGGGGCGGACTGGGCCGTGGGGCAAGTGCCCCACAGGCCTCTCTAATCCCCAATAAAATATCTGGTGCCCTGACAACATAGCTTAATAAAAACCATTGGCCGCACTAATATAAATGTTAAGACGGCTGGGACCGCAACTACTGCCGGCCGTGCAGTTGAAGTTGCTTTGTCTACCATCACCCCAGACTTTGAGACACTTATTAAAGCGGAGTTCCACTTAACCTATCAAAAAATAAAAGTCAGCAGCTGCAAAACTGTAGCTGCTGACTTTTAAAAAACAACCACTTACCTGTCCCTCGGTCCCGTGGTGAGTCCCCTGCAGCCTGTTTCACCGGCCGTCCTGTATTCCAGGAGGCCGGCATCTTCAGTGTGGACACCCGGCTGTGACAGCTTGGTAGCGCTGCACTTTGTGAATGGTCCTGTAGTCTTCTGGGACCTGTCATGTGTCCCAAAAGACTACAGGGAGGGAGGGAGGACACCTTCCGTTTCCGATCACCTAGGCGATCGCAGCGGAAGTGGGAGCTGGTACCTGTCAAATTCGGGTACCTGCTCCCCAAAGGTGCCAATCCTTAATGGGGAGCGGGGGACCAGTCCTTAAAGCAGAACTTCCCCTTTTGGGTGCAGCTCCGCTTTAAGAGCAAGAAGCATCCCCAGTTTTCCCATTAGTTCTAACTAATTTCATATGTTTCATTTACCATTTTTTAAACTGGGTTTTTCCCTCAACAGCATTTTCATTAGTGCTGTGATTACTCCATTTTGGAAGGAAGCCATTTATTTACTGTTTAAAAAGTGCATATGCATTGTAGAATACTGCACAAGTTGTTTTGTGGAATAAATTATAATGTTTCAGAAATTAAATTATTTTTGGGTTTGTGAGTTAATGACCAAGGTCAAATGTGGGCTCTAAGGGTTCCACATGATTACAACCAATGCCCTAATAGAAATAGAAAAATGGAGTTGAGATTCAATTGTTACATAGTATATAATTTACCACTAGATGGCAGCACAGTCCATTTGAAATTTGTTTTCCAAAATGTCTATTTTAATCTTTAACTAAAAGCATTTTCTGTTTGTGCGATAACATAAGGTGAGGGCATGACGGCAGCTTGAAAGCATCCTTAAAGCAGAGCTCCACCCAAAAGGGGAAGTTCTGTTTTCAGTTTTTGTCCCCCATTCCCCATTAAGAATTGGCACCTTTGGGGAGCAGGTACCCGAATTTGACAGGTACCCGCTCCCACTTCCGCTGCGATCGCCTAGGCGATGGGAAGCGGACGTTGTCCTCCTGCCCTCTCTCCCCGTAGTCTTCTGGAACACGTGACAGGTCCCAGAAGACTACGGGACCATTCACAAAGCGCAGCGCTTCTCGCGCATGCGTCGTGCGCATCCCGGCTGTGAAGCCAGAAGCTGTCACAGCCGGGTGCCCACACTGAAGATGCCGGCGCCAAGGAGAGAAGATGGCCAGTGAAACCAGCGGTGGTGAGGACACCACTGGACCGAGGGACAGGTAAGTGTCTGTATTTTAAAAGTCAGCAGCTACAGTTTTTGTAGCTGCTGACTTTTTTTTTTTTTTTTGTCAGATGGAACTCCGCTTTAATGCTGAAATTTAGGTATGAATTTTATTGTATAGTTGCTGAGCGGGTGACCTCCTCTGGTTATTATGTAGACGGGTTGTTGCTTTGCATCGGACCCAGAAGATAGCATATAGTCTCTGTCTTTGCATGCCAACTTCTAGTTGATCTTCATTACCTCCAGTTTCATTATCTATGAACTGGAGATAAATATTTTTGAACCTTATGCAGTAACAGTGCCATTTTGTAAAAGTGGTGCTATTAAGAACTACCTGAATCTACTGCACAATTCATTAAAGCGACCAAAACTGTTGGCAGTGCTTTTTGAGTCTGGAAAGACAAAAACAGGGAAAAAGTGCATCAATCTAGTGCAGAATATAACTTTATTTAAAACAAAAAAATAAAAAAGATTGCACTCACATGTGTAAGGAGATTGAATTGTTATGTGCAGAGTCAGAGCACAGCCAGAATGCTTATTGTGAGGGTGGCTACAGTGACTGCAGAGCTATGTAGGGACACTCACTCTGCTGTGGAACGCTCTGGTCACTGGAATCTTGTTATCGTGGCAGTGCATTTCAAGAGTGGCCTCCTTTTTGTCAAGCCTGTCGGTAGCCACACAAGCCTTTGATATGTAACCTCTAAGTGTCCACAATTATTCAACTATTTTAGGGCTAAACTATAAAGCTGCCCAATGGTAACAGTGTGTATTTCTTTTGAAGGAATAAAAAATATATATACAATAGTATTATAAGTTAAAGTGTTTGTTACCCCAACATTTCATATTCCTGATATGTGCCTGCTGTACCATGTACTTGTGTTAAAAAGCATCCTGTTCTCTTTGCATTGCTTTCTTTGTGTGAAATACCTGGCGATCCTGCCAGTCCCCTTGCTCTCCTATTTCAAACTGGCCACACTAGGCACAAGAGCACATCCTTCCCAGGGTGGTCAGTTTTCTGACCCCCAGCACAGCCTACCTTTCCTCCACGCCAAGACAGCTGCTGACATGGCCTTCCCCCCCCCCCCACACACACACTTTATTATATATATATATATATATATATATATATGTTTTGCTTTGCATTTCTATTTTAAATTGTATAGGTTGTTTTACAAGGTAAGGGTTTACACATACTTTAATTACTTAATTATTAATTAAATAATTCAAATAATAAAATGATCTTTTATATCAAAATGTTTTCTTTGCACAAAAGATGTATGTCTCTAGATACATCTTTTGTTTTTTTTTAGTCTGGCACAGGCCATTTTAAAGGACCATACCACTAGAAATGTGGCCTAGCATATTTTTTTTTAATTACCCTAACTGACAATGACAAAATTGGTAATACATTGACAGATTAATGGAAAAAAAGACAAAGTAGGAGAAAATGAAAAACAAATTGTGCTACTTTTAGGTCTATTTGTTTTCTTTAGAAAGCAGAAATGTAGACCTAAAAAAAGAAAATAAACCAAATCAACATAGTGTACACACTACTTTATAATAATAATAATAATGAGATTTCTACATAATATTTTTAGTTGAAAGAAAAGTTCCAGCTTGATAAGGCAGAATTGCTGTCATGTGATGTGGTGAGGTCAGGTGACACGCTACATCTGGTGGAGTATAACAAGCACACATCTCACACATTCATCTGCTGAGAAGCTTACATTTATTGAAGACCAAAATGTATTCACTATGGTGTTTCCTGTTATTGGGGACTCTCTGGACCTCCTGTAAGTTTATTTATCACAGTGTGTTATTTTATAGAATAAATCCTCTTATGTTTAGTGTGATTATGACTAACTATTCATTTTCTTGATGCACAGTAAACCTCGCAAGGTAAAATCACAAAATAATTAAACAAATATTAGCATGTGGAGATGAAGTAAATCAAGTTTAACCTGGATAGTCAAAATATATTTTTCTGTAAAAGTACTTGTTTTGTATAACTCTGTTGTATGTTCTTGTTTTGCAGTTGTGAGTTGCCAGGATTCTGTATACCAGAATGACACCATCACCGTCACAGAGGGAGAGAAAGTGACTTTATATTGTTCTTTTAGAGTGAGTGGTTTTAATGGGTTAAGATGGTACAAGGTGAACCCAGGATTCAGTCCAGTTCATATCATCTATGCTCCCGGCAAAAATAGGGCAACAGAAGGCGAACTCACGCTTGACTTCCAAGGTGACAGTTGTTTTCTGAACATCCCACACCCCGGCGTATCTGACTCTGCACTGTATCTCTGTGCTGTGCATGCACAGTGTGACACAATGATAGGAAGACCTGTGCAAGAACTTCATGGGACTTATTTCTACAGAAATGATGACTGGAGGCCAGGGGATACTGCACAGATTTTCTCGTCACAATTAGGAATTTATAGGGGAGTTCTAGGAAAACACCAAATCAATAATAAAGAGTAAATAAAGAACTGTTTACTTGTATCTAGATTCTGTTTCTGGATGCATTGTTAGGTGAAAAGGTTTTATGATCCACATGAAATTTCAGCTTACTGTACTTAGAGATGAGGTTCAAGTTCGGAGCAAAGAAGAGTTCACCCCAAACTCTAGCTGTTCACAATTTATTAAAAAGATGAATTAAATAGCCTGATTGCTCACCAGCCACAGAAAACTTCCAGTTGTGTGGCATGTAATTAATTAATGGCAGTATTACTATCTCCACTAGTAAATAGCTTCCCACTCAAGGCTGTGGTTTCAAAGCTGTTCTTGGCCACTGGAGTACTAATTTCATGGTTCAGGAAGGGGGGGCGGGAGCTAGGCCCATGTGAAAAAGGCCTACATGCAAGTATAAAGTGGCTAGTGTTCATAGTGCATTGATAAAATGATACTGCTGATAAAAAAGACATAAACATAAAAACAAATTAAACCACACGCACAACTATGATTAAACAAATGCATTAAATTATATAATCTCCAAAAATACATACATTCCACATACCATACATTAATATAAGATTAATACTGTAGGTGTCCTAATGAGGGAAAATATTTACAACAACCAAAGAACAGAGAAGATGGAAAAGGGAAAGTGATAAGAAGAAAATTATTTAAAGGGAGAGATACATGGTTCAAGAATATAAACCTAAAATGATGCAAACAAGTGAAAACGCAGTGAATACAAGTGGTAAGGCAATACAAACAGTTAGCACTTTGCTCTCTATCAAATAAGCAAGTATGGGAACCATGTAGTTGGTATTCCAAGATGCTTGGATCTTATGTTTGGTTGGACCTGCCAGTTCTTCAGTTGGTGGAAGGAACAGCGATTTGGAATACTGTCTTTCCTGCTCTAGTGCACAGTACCCCAGGGGTCAGTTGGTGGTAGGAACAGCGATTTGGAATACTGTCTTTCCTGCTCTAGTGCACAGTACCCCAGGGGAGGAGTACCCCTACCTTCCTACTATCCAGTGGAGAGCTCTTTCACTAGCTGCTGAGGCATTCTATTGGACTATGGCACAAATGGCACAATGTTCCAAAACTCCAATATTTTGTAGGAGTAGGAGTGTTAGGGCTTGTTCACACTTGACTTTTTTTCCAACTCTTGCCAAACGCCCCTATAGCGTTTGACAAGCGTTGGTCCGGCATTTGTGAAGCGTTTTTAACGCTCCGCAAACGCTCCAAAAACACCATATGCGCGGTTTAGCGGCAGTCGATAGGTGTTTGCCAAGCGTTAAAAATGCCACACAAATGCCTATAATGAAGTTTGAATGGTGTTAACGCTCACCAAATGCCTCACAACTATGTCGCAATCGCACCGCAAACACCGGCCAGGCATTTGCGGAGCGGCACCATAGACTTGAATAGGAGGCTTCAACTCCTCCTGACTCGACCAGAGGCGTCCGGTTTGCCGCGACGCTAACGCTTCCGTGTGAACAGCACTATGTGCTGCAATGTGCAGAATTTTCAGAGGCGTTTGGAAAGTGGTAAAAGCGCTTCCCAAACACCTGTCTGCCGCCTGCTGACAACGCTAGTGTGAACGTAGCCTAAGAGTAGGAGTGTAAGGAGTAAGAATGCAGGGGTAAGGATGTAGGTGAATCACAATCTTTCTACAGACTCTGCAGTGTACAGTTTGAATATTGTTAATAAATACGGGTAAAAGAATCTGACAGTTGCTGCCCAAGGCAATGTTCCATGAGTGTATATATATATATATTTATTTCAGGTACTTATATAGCGCCATCAATTTACGCAGCACTTTACACATATATATTGTACATTCACACACATATATATATATATATATATATATATATATATATATATATATAGCTTTGCATACACGGTATACAAATTTCAGACAAGTAACATTTATATTTCATGTTTTGTCCAGGCTGCTCATATTATGTGAATAGAATCAGATAGCCTTTACCATTGAAAGTAGATTGCTTTTACCAACCAAACATATAAAGTGTTTGTGGCTCATGTTTTGCTGTCTTAGGCAGTCTTGAACACAGGACATAAAGAAAGCCACTTTTACAGGCGTCTGAGGCTTTCTTTCAGCCTCTAAATTCTCTATGTTAGCCTATGTTGCCATGCTCACATAGGCTTTTCCAGGCGTATTAGCAGAGGAATGTTTATAGGCTGAAGAAAAAACATCACTTGTGCGTTCAGGAGAGGGATGTTTGAGCAGAAAAATGATGCGACTAAATGCATATAAACACACCTAAACACTACGTGCATTTTGCTCTTCAGCAGTCAATGGACAGAATACTGTAAATTAATATTCTGACCAATGGAATGAATGAATGCCCAAATGCTTGACTCACTTAAACATGGTTAAACATGCCTAAATGCATTTTAAAAATTTGGTTTTAGATGTGTGTTTTTAAGCTGCTTTGCTCATGCCAGCAAAAAAGGCATATGATGTCCCCCCAGTCAAGTGCCTTGTGTGTGCCCTAGTGGCCATGCTGCAG